TATTAAGTTACAGCAACCGCCGTCTGTCGAACTCTCTGCGTTAGCAGAGAGGAACCCGGACGAAGCTTTGCCGAAGGGCAAGGTTTCGTTCGGGGAGGTTATGACAGCTCTCGAACTCGCCTAGGCGAGTCGAACGCTATATTTTTGGCCGGGCCTACGGGCTCGGGTGACCACGTAAAACTCGGCCTTGTGCCACATGCGACCCCACGTGGTGGGGATAGCTAAATATTTGTAGCCTTCAATAAACTTACACAGCAGACCGAGCAGTGAAAGAAGGCATGCTCAATAGACTCTCCTCAATTTCACCGCACCGGTCGCATTCTGGAGAATCACCCATTCGCGATGCGAAAGACCTTTTGCCGGCCCAAAGCGCATTTCGAATCATCTGCCAGGTGAATGATGTCTCATCATCAGTAAGGTATCTCAACCCGGACGTCCAAGGCCAAATTGAGTGAAACTCCCTCCTCGTCAGATCGAACACCTCGATCAGACCGTCGTGAACGCCACCCGCTACCTAACACCCGATGCAATGCTTTTCTCGACAACGGCCAGATGTAAGAGAGGCCAGCCTGTATTCGAGAAAGAAATTTCATGGTGGCATTCACTGTTCAAGGAGCATTCGTTTCGGTGCGAACGACGGACTTTCGCCTCAGCCGAGTGCATGCTTCTCAAAGATGGGATAGCTGTTTTGGCATCTTCCTTTCAGAAGTTGCCATTCCCGTCATCCTGTGTATACATGCGACCAAGGAAATGCAATCGCAATGTGTCTCGACGGGTCTCTATGTCCAGCATGTCAAGACTACTCCCGGACGGGTGGGGGTAGTAGACCTTGCGACGCGTCATATGAGCTTTGTAGTCCCAGAGAAGAAGAAACAAAGCTTTCACTAGATCATCTAGGTAGGCGACCGAGAGTGGCAGAACTGAAAGGATGAGTGGGTAGATGTACGTAACGCACAACTAGGCCCTCCCCTTCGTAGCCACAGATTAACTCCGGCTATGACCTTCTCCAGAACTTCCAACCGATTCTTCTCCAGTTGGAGTTCGGGACCGAACCAAACGCCAAGTATCTTGTAAGGCCCGTCCGTCCAACTGAAGGGGCACTGCTCAATACAGGCGTTGAAACTTCATCGGCATAAGCGTTATAGCTGGTTGAGGTGGTGGCAGCAGGTAGAGTAATCCGGCTAAGGACCGGATTCGCCCTCAACCTGCACAGAAAAGGCTCCAGTGCAAGCACATAGAGCAAAGACGAGGGGAGACAGCCCTGGCGAATGGATCTGGCCAAGATGAAGGGCTTCGATCTTACCACCAAAGCATTGGGGCTCGCATACAAAAGGCGAATCCAGGAACGAAAGTACGGCTTGAAACCGGCCATAGACAAGACAGCATCCAAGAAACGATGGTCCACCCTATCAAAAGCCTTGGACTGATCCAAGTTGATCAGCGCGGTTTCTTCGTCAACTTTTTCTATGATTGTGCTCACCAGATGAAGGTTATCTTGAATCGTCCCACCCTTTACAACACAAGTCTGTTCAGGGGATATGACACAATTGAGCACAACCTGCAAACGATTTGCCACAGCCTTGGCCAAAATCTTTAACTCTGTGTTAAGCATCGTTAAGGGCCGAAAGTTACTAATCCCATTCCTTCAGATTTACTCTTGCGTAGAAGCTTCACCATACCCTTGGTAAAACATTCCATCCAGTGATTGAATAGAATTTCCAGCAGGAACACACATGGACAACAGCCTCCAGTATACTTTGTAGGGTAAAACTATCGATGCCCGAAGTCTTATCCTTCCCGATCTTTTTCAACGCTTCCCATATTTCCTCCTCTGTTATGCGACCCTTTCAACCAGTCGCCTCGAGACGAGGAAAGTCGGCCAAATAGTCGACGAACTGAGTCGAAACTCAGATCAGGCTCCTTGGTGAAAAACTTCTGGAAGTAATCACGAAAATCCCCGCATATGCCCTCGTCCGTCGTTAGGTTTTTCCCATTCGGCGACGTGACACATGCAATATGCTTATCCTAAGAGTTTTACGTCGAACTCTCGTAACTAGAACCCGGTCGATTTAGTTAGAAAGCGGCACCCCTCCCGGGCCGCCCCTCTGTGTCTAAGTCCACTCTATCCGCTTCGGATGTTCATTTCGGTATTTATCAACCAGATCAAAAAAGGAATAATTTGGACTGACTACAACCACCATTAAAGACTTAAAGAGTATAATTTTTTAAAATGTTTTAAAAATCCTAAAAAAAAATGTAATTCATAACTTTATAATTTTTTATTCATTATAATTGAAGCAATATTTTTTTTATTTAAGAATGTGCTTTTTTTTTTTTTGGATTAGCAGAATAATTCCAGTATATTTATTGAAACAAAACAAGTTCAGTTGACCATTGATGACAATTCCAGAACAACGTAACTATAAAATAAACAATTTTTTTCTATCTTCTGCCAGCCGCAATGATGGAGAAAGTGTTGGGTATGTGCAGAATAAACTAAGGAATTTGTTGTAGCATTGAGATAAATCAGAAGGAATTTTTATATGTCAGGTTGTGTGAACATTTCTGCATCCACAACAATAAAACAATTTCGATATAAACAAGACAAAAACATGCATGCAATTCAAAACCAATAAATGCATTTATATACAAATAAAATAATATGTACAGAATATTTTTGAAGATGTTAATGTGTTGGTATGTTTGTAATATTTGAAGTTTTTTTGTATGTCCTTTTTATGTCTTGTGTATCTGTGTTACAGTCTTTTTAGAAAATTGTAATTAGTATTTAGAATGTCGTTATTATGTTTTTAGAATTGAGTCATTACAAAGTAGTCTACCTTTGACTGCATATGTTGAGTTCATTCGATAATGTTATTTACTTAGAACAGTAGTGAGTGTTAATTCACTTTAGATAAGTAAAGGCGTTCGGATAGAAGTTTCGGTGTTCACAGAGTGTTCTTCGGTTTGGGTTTGCGAGTGAGTCAGTTGTGATTTTTGTTTGCGCGGGAAGATTATAGTTGCAAGCGACGTGGATTATGTTAGCATATCTCTGTGTTCGTTCGACTGACTGATTTATCGTAGATGATCAAAGAGAATATATAGTTTGAGATTCTTGAATGACGAAGAAATTCGTAGAAGATATTGAACGGGAAAGATTTGTCGTCTCGATTCGCGAGACGGTAATTAGTAGTCGTCACATTTTTAAGCTTGAGTAAGCGGTCGAAAAATGGTCTGCTGCTGATCTGCCCAGGTCTGCGTCTGCGTCTGCGTCTGCTTCTGCCTTGTCACACGTGCTTTGGGTTCTTTTTAAAAGTCATGATCACGTGGGTGGCTCCAGAGCGATTTTGTGCCAAAACTTCGAAGTGCACGTGCGGGCGACCTGATTGGTAGAAATGACCCAATCAGAGGGCTAGATTTACGAATGAAAGTTGGAATAGTGCATTACCTCGAACCATCGCCAGTGAGACACGCTGCAAGAGCCACTCCATTTCGAGAGGCTCGTCCCTTAATCGAGACGCCGTTGCGCCAATCCTCCGAAGGAATGCCATCGAACGAGGGTCAATAACCCCTGAAGTCTCCACTGCCACAGGAGTAAAAAAAAACTATCAGCAAGGGAAGAATATTTAACTACTTTTTTCATCTCTGCGTCCCGGACAACCGCGGACCTGATCAAATTACCGGCCTAAAATGTATCCGCACAGGTCACATCCCAAATCAACGACTTACCCATTTTAAAAGGGAAAATGGTAATGCCGCTTTCCATAATTAATATGTTTTTCATTAAATCACTGTTGTTGTGTTAATGTGAATTTCTTGTAGTGATTTTTTAAGCGTAGCTTAGATGTGGCACAAGACCGAAAATATGGGACACACTATGAAAATCGAACTCACGACTCAGTCGTATTTGTTCTAGCTCCTCCTATGCTAACATTACAACACGTTGAGGTGCTAAATGTGAATTTTTTGTGCATGTTAGGGGCAATACATGAGATAATTTTCTTATTGAAGTTGTCGCAATTGTATAAATTAAAAAAAAATAGATTTAGTACATTTTGTCATTCTCATCCAACTTCACACACACACACACACACACACACACACACACACACACACACACACACACACATACATACATATACATTACAAACAAACAAAAAGAAATTCTCCAACAGAAGAGACACAAGTTCGATTCTTGCCGAAGAGCACATTTCTTTTATTAAGAATTCTCGAGTACGCAGGCAAGTATACGTAGATTAGTTAATAATTTTTTAATTAGTTACTTATGAATTAATGTTTAATTAAAATAAAAATGGGGCATCTATTTCAAATACGATTATCCACTAATAATAATAATTTTGTCGAAAAAAAAAATGTCGGATTTAAAAATAAATACAATGACTAATTAATTAATAATTCTTTATTAAAATAAAAAGGAAATGGGCGTTGGCGATGACAACAACCAGTTACGACTAGAGATCACTATATTTATGAAAATATTGTGCGGTTTATGTAATTTTAAAAAATAAATAAACTAAAAAGTTTAATAAATAAAACTTATGCTTTGGTGGTGTGTAATTGTTTTTTTTTTTACACTTACACTGACTAGTAAGTTATAGTTACAGGATTTTTTCTTATTTTATTTTGACTTAAAATTTTTAAGTAAAATTTCAGTTCTCCCAAAGTTAAGTAAAAGTTTCAACAACTAATTCTACACTATGCATATACTTTTGATAAAGAAATAAAAATCATGTTGACGTTTAAAAATTAAATTTCCGCGAAATTCGTCTGCTACAAGCCAGGATTTTTTTTTTATTTAAGCAAATACGAAACTAGCGGCGCTGAAAAAAAATAATAATAACCAGCTCTGCATTTAATAGCATTTTTACGTGAAAGTCATGTTTCTTGCAAAAACTGCAAGTTCATCGAAAAAACTTTTTCGTCTTGGATTGTAGGGTAAAAAAAAAAGAAAAGATTAATCCCAAACCCTACGAAATTAAATGGCTACAGCTGTCGTACTTGGCGGAGGGGTCAGCGGACTGGCCGCGGCTTATTATCTTCAGCGACAAGTGTCCAGATTTTCTAAGGTTCCTCTTTTTTATCTCTTTTTTAATTCAAAATGAATGAAGCAAAAGAAAATTTGGTGAGAAAGCGTTGAAGTAAGCTTAAAAAAAAACAATTAAAAATCATAAACAATTTAAAAGTTTGTTTTTACTTCATATAACTAAGTGTCCATAAAGAAGAAACTTTAATTACTACTTTCTCTCTCTCACCCAATACTAGTACACAGTGTCCTTTTCAAGCAAGATGGGCGATGATGGCTCGCCACAGCTTTCTATGCTTTGTTTCTTTCTTTTTTATGACTCCTCTGTCGATTCATCTCCACAAAAAAGGTATCTTCCATTTTAGTGTCTTTTTTTTTTTTTTTGGTATTTCACTTCACTTATTGAATTACCTTCCTTACTTTTTTTAGTCAGTTATGTGTCATGCGTGATACACGTTTAGGCGATCATGTATCTTTCAGTACATGACTAACTAGGCAGATTTTTCCCCTCAGTAGATTGCCATTTCTTTCTGCGATAGACCAATTGCCATCCAAGGCTATAGAACCCAGTCCGTCCTGCTATTTACCCATAGCTGTGGGGGAGGGGGAGAGGAAAAGGATTTACCTTTCCCAGGGTATTATGTAAGTGAATGTAATGGATTTGACTGGAATTCAAATTCTGCTCTCTGATTCCTCAATCCGAGCTGCTATCCATGATTACTCCACCATAAAAATTTAAAACCTAGCCTCATATTATGAGGAGACATTTGTGGTGTATGTGGTGGTATGAAGGTTTGCTGAAATCAGAGTATTGATTGGTAAGTGGTTTGGACTGAGAACTTTTTTACAACTGCCTCGTATAACCACTGCTCTGGGTTTTTAATGTGCAAAAAAATATTTCATGATAATTTCAATAATGAAAAGAATTATTGGTACTATTGTACAAAAATGGACCTGCATGTGCATGTTAACAGAACACTCATAATCCTTAATTTTTAAACTTTACAATTTTTGGATTAAAAAATAAGAAATATTTAAAATAACTAAAGGAAAGTGAGAAGAAAGGACTAAACTTCTAGTGTAAGAAGCCAGAAGTATAATTTTCAGCAAAAGGAACATGTGAACTATTGGAGACACCAAAATCAAGCAAGTATGAAAATTTAAATATCTAGGAAGTTTTTTTAACAGAGAACGGAAAATGTGACACTGAAACCTGATGGTGCATTAAAATAGAAAAAATGCCTTCCAAGAGCTAAGCAAAGTATTAAGAAATAAGAAATTTATGTTATAAACAAAGAAAGGTGTATTGAACTGTTATGTAATATCACTTCTATATTCCAGTGAATGCTGGACAATCTCCTCACAAATGAAGCGCCTTAAGGCAACAGAAATGTGGCCCTACAGAAGAATACTGAGAATGATCCTGGTACACCTGTGGTAGTTCTTCTATGTGCCATGTCCCTTCAGGACATTGGTGATCATGACTCTCCACAATTTCCTGTCCCTTGTAGCTCTTAATATCTTTTGTCTTTTTGCCATCTCTCCCATACTCTGCTCCTTCATCCCATCCACTCAAGCTCACCAGGTAGGTTGAGCATTGCTTTCCTCTGTTTCTTTTACCTTCAATCTGTCCTGTGAGTATCAAATTTTTCAAGCCCCCCTCATTATGTGTCCTGCCTCAACTGTTTCTTCCTAATGTTAAGTATAAGTTTCCTTTTTGTTGCCATTGTCTCTAGAATTTTGTCGTTGCTCACATGTTCAAGCCTGTGGTAGTACATAAAGTGATTTATCAATTTTGTAGGAAGTGAGTTTCCTGAGAACTGTAGTTCACTAATATAAATGGTTTCCTTCTTTGTTCTTGTTATAATAGATTATTATTTTGTACAGCAAGTAACCAAAAGATACCAAAATTTTTGTTTATAATAAACATTTAAAAAATAATGTTTGTTATGCATTTACAGGCTGTATAACACCTTCAATTGAGTTGTAGATTCCCACCTTTGAGTTAGGCTATTGATATGTATATTGTAATATTATTCATGGAACAGGTGCACAGATTACACTGATCCTAAGAACACTTTGATTTTAGGGAAATGTGCTGATTAATGCGTAAATAATCTTATCGTTATTCTTAGATATTCTGTTGTAACAAAAGAAACCAAATATTTTCTAGAAGGACCTATTAACTAAACATTTTTTGCATTTTCTCATATAATTGAAATTGCATAAACTGTGCTGACACTAACAGTTGCGCAAGCCTGTCTGGCCACTAAAATATACTAAATTCTGAGATGGATACTGAATGATGCAAAAATTTAAACATTCAACTATACAAATATATTAGTTTTCAATACTCAAACATGAAAACATTTTCTTTCAACATTAAAAGCTGGGTAGTCTGGGTATTAAAAGATGCTAAATCTAAACATGGGCTTAAACATCCTGCAGTATCCAGACGTTGGGATTGAGTGTCTTTGGGAGTCTGGACATTAGAATTTATCATATTTTAGTGCCTGTGCAACTCACTCCACCATTTGCTTTGTTAGCCTTATTGATAATATTCCACAAAAACAGCATTTGCACATGGGCAAAGCAACAAAATCAGCAAAAGGGTTTTGATGACTTCATCCACCCAGTCTCTCACTGGTTTGATCAGCCAAATTTGTGACTTCAATACACAAGGCAGAATAGTGGATAAGATAAAAAAAATAATCTTTATTTACAGAATTTTGGCAAAGATACAGGACAGCTGGTTTATCTCAATTGTCATATTTTTTTAGGGGTGAGGTGTGGATGTTCCTTCTTTCACCTGAGCCAACTAGTCAAAACCTTGCCATGAGTTCAAACCCAGACAATACCAAGTGCTAATTTAATTTATTATATGCATTTCATCACTCCAGCAGCCCACAAGAAAAACTAAACTCAGGTACCTTTGGTATGCTAATAAAATCTATATTATCTAGTTAGGCTATTTAGGCTTTTCACATCAACTTCTCAAGTTCATTCCCATTCCAACTGGCACCAGGTATAAATTCACTCACTTGAAAAATAACCCTGTCACATGTCACCCTCATCTTGTATTTTACTCTACATGCCAAATTATAACACAGGAATTATTCCAAATTGAAGCAGCCATAAATAAATAAAGTTGCCTCCTTGTGCCTTTTCTACAAATACTTTCACTTACTGATAAAATCTATACCTATATATACCTACTATTATAGGTCAAGAATGTGTGGTTGGTGTAATGGATAGTGGCTCGAAATGAGAAATCTGAGAGCTGAATTCAAATTCCTGTCAGGCTTGTTACATTCACTTACGCACAAATATCCTTGCAAATGGTATGAATCAACTTTTCCCACCAGATATGGGCTAAATAGCAGGACTTGTATCTAGAAAAATCCTGAATAAAATATTCACTTGCAAAAATATAATTAAAAATTATTCCTACAATCCAAAATGTTTTAGCTTAAAATAACCCACAATGGGTTGATAAGCCATAAACCCCCCCACAAAAAAAAACAAAAGAAATATCAAACAATAGGGTAATGGTTAATAAGCTAGTTTCACAGATCATTATAATGAGTTTAGCTCTCACTGGGTGTCTTCTACTTGTGGCTTTGTGCTCTCCTAACTTGAATATTAGTAATGTATCAGTGATGATCCACTAATTGTAATCCCTGTGTGTTGGCCTGTATATTTTTAAAAGAAATTGTTACTTTCTCAATAGAAATAATTCTTGACCTTGGACTCTTTTCCAGTAAATCATAATGAAACTTGATTATATTCTGGATATTATTTAAGTCAGTCCTATTGACCTATGTGATCAGTTAAAGAACCAACTTGATAAGTCCTGGTACATATTCTTTATCTGCAGTAATGTTTATTTAATTTTTTTTTAAATCCTAATGTTTTTTTTTTTATTTTGAACTTTTCAGATTATTTTATTGGAGGCTAGTCACAGACTTGGAGGCTGGGTGAGTACAACCCGTTTCCCAGATGGTGCCATCTATGAACATGGACCCCATTCCTTGCGTGCTACTGGCAAACCCGGTCAACACACTCTTACACTTGTAAGTTTCATTCACCTTTTGAAATCTTCTTTGCTTATTACACTAAAAAAATAACTTTAGTGATAATTTCTTCAATCTTACAGCATTTCTGTAAATTAGATAATCTTGAGAATAGTTAGAGAAGACCAATAGTCTATACCCTTAAGTAAACATCATCATAATATGTTTTATAATATAAAACACGTGATTTTATGTATTTATTGGTCGTACATCATTATCTCCCTTGTTTGAGATATTCTCTTGTTGGAGGCATTATTCAATGTCAGTAATCAAAACATGCCTTGTATCAATAACATAACAGAATAACTCATTATTATGTAGGGGAGATCAGGCTACATTGTATTTTCTTCCTTTTTTATTAGTTTTTTTTGGATATTTTTATTTTTAATGATTTAAAAACTGCAAAATTGATCCAGAAAATATATTAAGAAATATATTCTGGGTATTCTTAGGGTAGTAGACTAAACTGCATAAATTACGAGTTCTTGTAACCAACCTAATATTAAATGTAAATAAAGGATTCTTATTTACCATCAGATATTGCTGGTGCTCCTGTCATATATTTAGAGCTCCTTGATAAAATCCAAAGAAGAATCAGCAATATTATTGGTCCTGATCTGGCATCTTGGTAATTGTACACATGAGGTGCTGAATAATTCACAGTCTAACAAAGAACAGATATTCTCCATCAAATTCTGTTTAGTCATTTGTAAAGTGGCTTGGGTCAAGAGCTTTTCAATGCTTCCTCATATATATATATATATATATAAAACCATATTTGAGTAGATGCTCTGTTTATTTATTTCCATCTACATCCCTGAATATTCAAATCTTATTAGAAAAATATGCTATATATATATATATATATATATATATTTTTTTTTTTTCTCAAAAAAGGGGAGGTATTTTGCTTTTGAAATTAAATTAATCATTCATTTGCCAGTAATTTACAATCACCTGAGGAGAGGCATTGATATGCATTGAAACACAATAGCAGTTGTGTAGTGGTTTTAGCGTTGTTTTAATATCCTAAATAATATATATATATATATATATATATATATATATATATATATAAATAATATATATATATATATAATATATATTTAGCTGATTGATGTTATATTCATAACTTCAATTCTAGAGTTTCATTCATGAACTTTTTATAATTGTTCAGTCCACTCTTCAGGAGGTTTCAAATAATTGATTGCTGCTTTTCTCATTTTTTTGTTATATATATAATAGTATATAAGGGGTAATAAAAAAAAAATGATAAACATTTTCTTTTATGCTAGGAACTTAGTTCAGTCCCTGGTTTTGGAATTAAACAGATAAATTATATAAATGATATATTGTATCTAAAAAATGTATACAAATTAATAAACATTGAAATGTCTTTATTGGTATTGCAGTAGGAAGAAATAATGAAAATGATTTCAACTCTAATAACATGGGATGGCAAGATATTCAAATATTAAGTATAATGGCCTCCAAAATATTAGGTTTTGATCAAGAATGCATCATGCAGAAAACTGGATTTGGATCCACATTTCAGTCAAGTCACTTAAATCTTTTGTATTTTGGAGATATATGTCTTATTTCCTTCATTATAAACTTCCTTAATAATCTCTAAAATTTGTTTTGACTTTTTCTTTTTTTTGTAATACTTTTCATCATCTGATCTTCTCTTTTTGAGTGTGCAATCCTAATTTTGATTGTATGATTCTCTAGAAGAGGAAGTCACAGTTATGAAATTATAAGCAAAGTGACTGTATTTGTTATTACACATTTCTCTTTTTCTTTTAGTTGCATGAACTTGGTTTAGAATCTGAAATCCTTCCTGTGACCCAAACACACCATGGAGCCCAAAACCGATATATCTTTTACAAAAACCAACTTCACTGTTTGCCTACAAGTAAGCTTTTTATCATTATTTATTACTGTTTTTTTTTTTTTTTTTTTTTTTTTTCAGTTTTACTTGGTACTCTACAAATGAAAGAAGAATTTATTTTATGCAAAAAATATTTTTCAATATACTCTCTTTCTTTTTGACTGCTTTAATTGAGTGCTTAATATTTAATCCATGTTTCAGACTATGGACTTCTTAAACCTTGCTCATGTGTAACTTCTCGCCATTCTTGAAGATATTTATTTCTGATCCATACTATGTAGAATGTAAAACAGCATGAGCATTGTATGAGAAAGCAACAAAAAAGAAAGATAATTAATTAATAAAGAAAATGTTTTGTTTCAGAGATTCAGATAACTTGAGACTTCTGCTACTTGATAGTAAACAAACAATATGGTATGAAGTAATTGGATTAGAAAGGATGCAGATAAAAGATTAAATTTGACTTTACCTAGCTGGTTAATTGTCCATGTCAGATAGGCTCCCTACAATATGAGATGTCAGTTCAAATCTGTAATAGACTACTACTTTATTTCTGATCCATGCCACTTACTTGACAGCTTTTAAAAACAGCAATAATAAGTTAAAAGAGGAACTAGTTAATAATTATTTACACTATTTATATTTGGACTATTATCCTCATCTTTTATTACAATATTCCAGCCTTACTCAGAAGTATATCAATCTGGGTAATCTACGTGGAATATCTCTAGACATGAGCAGTGGAATGAGAACAGCCTACCTTCATAAATTAATTAAAGAATTAAGTTTGGAATTCCCTGTAGGTTGTCCAGATTGATATACACCTAAGGAAGGCTGGAGAGCAGAAAGGCCGAAACATGACAAAAACAACAAAGATGAGGACAATAGTCTGAACAGAAATAGTGTAAATAATGGTAACTCCTCATCCCAGAAATTCGGACAAAAATTAGTTAATAATTTTGAGGAAAATGCTTTATCCACGAGATTCAAACATTCTCGATGATACTTTAAAACAATGTCAGCTTTGCTGATTTTGTGATTGTCTATGTCAGCAAAAACAAATGGATGATACTATTTTAGAGTAAATTCTTTATGGTATCTCTCTGACTATTTACTTTTCTGGTTTTGTCCTCTTATATCTTGATACATTTTTTTTTTTTTTTTAACTATTATTATAGATGTTACATAGCAAAATGAGAACCAAAACAACTCAAAAGGATTCATTTTATAGTTGAAAATTAGGTTTAGGCTTGCTACTGGTAACATGCAACCCAGTACAAGTTGCTGTATGGATGGGTGGTTAATGTTTAAAACAGCCCCTCCACTAGCTTTTCTGTTGGTGAGGAGGGTAGCATGTCACTCCACAGGATAGGAGCCAACAACCAACATTTTTATATATATATATATATATATAGTTTTAAGGTGTGCTATATTTATGGGATAAAGTGCTCAATATCAGAGATAGAGCATATGTAAATATAAAAGTGAACATTGAAGTCAACACTCAGAGGCAACAGGCTGTTTCATGCTAGACACAATCATCATTCATTCATATATATATATATATATATATATATATATATATATATATATATATATATATATATATATATATATATATATATATATATATATATATATATATATATATATATATACATTATATATATATATATATATATATATATATATATATATATATATATGGTTAGGATGGGGTCTCAATGCTTGAATGGCAATCTTCCTACAGATGGTGTCTCTATAAAAACACGGTGTACTTGGACTTATCATGTCTGAATTGGGCACCAGGAAGAGCATCTGACCCTGTAAAACCTTGCCTCAAATCATTATAACAAATAACAAAGACCCACCTTGCTTTGTGTGAGATTAATCCCGGTTTTTCCTTAACAAAAATTGCCTATGTATGTATGTATAGACTTATTAGGTCGATGCAGTGTTTCTATGTAAAGGCATAGCAACATTATTTGGTTGTTAAAGTATTTTTGATTCCCTTCCATGATTGTGTACCACCTTTCAGCTAAATGGTGTATTCTGTCTTAAAAGAATGATTCCAGCTTTTATTTGATGCATTCACTGGGGAGTTTTTTTTTTGTTTTTTTAAGCTTATTGGAACTGCTGGCCAGACAAAAGACTGCATCATGGAGCAAATCTGAAAATGATACATCTGAAGAATGTGGTGCACATTAAAGAACTTCCCTTTCCAGCTCCATGATTATTTGCTGCATTACACTGTCCTGGGTATGACTATAAACTACATCTGCGCCCAGGGTGAGACGATAAGCTACATCCAGCAGCAAGGCCTGTGATCAGGAGGTTTTGAGGATTGTGGAAACACCTCTTAATTGCTGGTATTCCCAGATCCACCTTGACCTGTAGTGGTAGCACCTGTTAGGATCCCAGCTAAGGGCAAATAGTTAACCCCAAAACTGAGGTAAAAAGTATTATGAAAGTGTAAAAATAGGTTTTAATACCAGAAATACTTTGTAAAAAAATATCTTCCAGAAATAAATTTTTGAAGAAAAACAAATTATTACCAGCAATATATTTTTGAAAAAAAATATTACCAGCTATACATTTTTGAGGGAAAAAATATTACCAGAAATAGATTTTTGACAAAACAAAATATTACCAGGAAAAAAAAGTTGTTGGTATTATTGAGGTTGATATGCCGTAAAACAAACCAAACCAAGCTGCATTACATTTACAAGACATTAGTCTTGTTATGCAGCAATGCCACCGAAAAAGGTCTTTTCTCTTCCATTACATCATTTAAATGAGCTACTGTAATGCAATCTAGTAACAATCTGATGAGGTTTCAGCAATTTGTAAGAAAGAATTTCTTTTGAGTCCTACTAAATACAATTTTTTCCTCTCCCAGTAGATTCTATTTAGGTTGAAGCCAGAGCTGGTTCTAGCCAGAATTTTCTGATTTAGTATTTAAAAGAACAAAAAAAAAATACTTTTGCTTGCATTTTTGCTCTCTGTCCTTTTCAGGTTTTAGTAGTATTTTTAAAAAGTCATCTCTCCTCTCTCAATCACTCGTCTGGAGTTTAATTCGAGACCTTGTGAGCAAACGTGCACCAACTGATGATGATGAAACAGTCCATAGCTTTATAAGCAGACGTCTTGGAACTGAGGTGAGTAATGACATTATTATTTTTCTACTTGTCTATTTTTTCTCCTCTTCTTGAAATTTTTCTTGTTCAAGAAATAAAATATGATATTAAACTTTCTGTAATGTTGAAATGAATCAATATCATTTTGAAAGTTGTTTAATGATTGATTGCATTCTTTTTGTTACTGTTCTAATATTTTGACAGATTCATTCTCTGTACTTCATCAGCAATAAGGAAAGTAGAGGTTTCGTGTCTTATTTTTTTTTTTTCAACTAGTATCAATGAATTCTCTTTTACAGTATTAGTATCTCCCAGTACTCTTACAATACTAGTGAGCAGTATCTGACCAAAATAATAATAAAGAAAAAAAAAAAAAAACAACTTTTAATACCCAACAATTATTTGGGCAGTATCTGAAAAAAGGGCCCATTTCTCTTTCGATATGGAATGTACACTTGAAATGTGCCTTAAAATGAAATGACCAGACATTGTGGCAGCAACAATTAATGAATGAAATCATTAATTTGAAACCTATTTTAATGAAACCTATTTAAATGGATGTGTGGGTGGTGTAATGGATAGCAACTTCCAGTTGAATTTGTTACATTTGCAAATACTCTTGGAAAACATATGAATGTTCTCCCCTTGCTATGGGTTAAATATTAGGACTTGTATCTGGAAAAATCGTTCTCTTGAAAAAAATTGTTAATGCAATATTCATTTGTGGAAAAAAAAAAAAAAAGAAAAAATTCTTACAATCCAAAATATGTTTCACCTTTAAATAACCCACAAAGGGTTGATAAGCTGTAAAAAACAATCATTTGCTGGATTGCTATAAACACAAGTTTAGGTTGTTTTTTTCAAAATGGCTTGTTTCATTATCTCTTAACCCTTCTCAGACTGAATTTATAACATGGCCTCCACTTTGGGCTTCTCTTGATGCTATGGAGAGTCTTGTTGCATCACTTGATCTTCTCCACTCATGTCTTTAATTTTTTGATTTGAAGAAATTTTAGGTATAACTGGCTGAAACATTTTCAGAAACAAAGGGGGTTAGTTATAAACAAAATAAAGAAGGAAGTGATTTTCTGTTCAGAGAATTGACTCTTACTCATAGAAACAATAACATAGAGTTTACTTGTTAAGGGTCATGGTTATCAGTTCAACCCTTCTTACTTCTGCTAAGCTGATTTGCATTGGCATTATTTACAACATATTGCAAAATCAACAACAATGTCTTGATCTGTTAGCTGCTAGTATGTTCAGGGAACTTTGGTCTCAGGGACAAAATCCAAGTTTGTCACTGAAACCTGGTCTTCATCTCTTCTGCTCAATCATCAGTCTGTAAATGGAAATTTCTTAAGCTGGGGACAACTAATATTTTTAGTTGATCAGCTCTTCTCATACTGCATCTGGAGTAGGTGACAAAAAATGGGCGGTGATGTAAATTTGCAGCTTCTTTTAAGTGTACTAAGTAACCAGTCAGTCTGGTAGCTGTAGGTAAATTTTAAAAAGATCTTCTTGATATAGACATTCATAATGTAGCAATCTCCAACATAGTTTTTTCATTTTCCTTTTTAGGTGGCTGATGTCTTAATGAGTTCTATGTGTCGAGGCATCTTTGCTGGTGATGTGCACAAGTTAAGTGTACGTGCTTGCTTTCCTGACTTGTATCAGTTGGAACAAAACCACAGATCTTTGGTATTGGGAAGTTTATTTGGAGGTCAGTTTGCCAAAATTATTTAATTTCTCACAATTTGTGTATTAGAATTTGTTTCTAATGCCAACAGAAGAAGCAACATCATTTCATGTTTAACATTCTGAAGATGAAAAGCAAAAATTTTATCCTGCCACTGCAAGTAACTCAGGTGAATGAATGATAGCATGTTTGAATTTTGCAGTTGTGTGGTTATATCCTGCTATGGCAACAGAAAAGGAACATTATTGAAATTAAGTAGGATAGTAGGGGAGCCTTGAAAAACAATGCAGTGAAAAGGGAAGTAGGGAATAATGCAGTGTGTTAAAAGTTAACTGAGACAGTCTATCAGAACCGAATCTGGTTCTTGTAATTCCAGGAGATCTACCAAAAAAGAAAGAAACATACCAACACTCACCATGGTTGAATTTGATGCCTTTTTGGGAAGTGGCAGGGAGGTGTTCTGGAACCTTCTTGAATGAACACCCCCTCCCAACCTTTTAATATTATCATATAATTCTGCTTGTTCCTCTGTTAGTAAGCTAGTTAGCGCATACATTATGCCCTGCCATTACCTCAAATAAATAATGGACCATTCTGTTTTAATTGTAAGAAAAGGCAAGAAAAATATATCAGAAACACTGTCTAGTTTTAATAAGGAAAAGCTTATATAAGAAGAATGAAAGAAAGAATGCTAATTTTGATAAGTATAAGATTGCTGGAAATTTATTTTTAAACAAAAAATGATGCAGTATTTTATTAGTAAAATAAAATTTGTATTAAATTAAAACATTACATTATACACCCTGCCATTACCTCAGATTAATAATGGACCATTCCATTTTGATTGCAAAGAATGATAGTATATTTATCAGAATGCTGTTAGTTTTAGTAAGAAAAAGAAAGCATATATAATAATAAGAAAGAAAATAGAGGCAGCAATAATGTTATTAGCTGTTTAATGTCTGCTTCAGTGAAAGGAAATAGAGAAGAAATAAAGAAGTGAAATAGAAACAGAAAATAGAGAAAGAAATGGAAGAGAGAAGAAAGAAAAAAGTTGTAGTGATAAAATAGACATATTACTTTTATAATTCTTCTTTCTATGAAACTAATATACCTTCAATATTATTCAAGTTTCATGGATAATTATCCTTTGTTAATGAAATTTACTTTAGGTGGTAGTCAGAATATGAAGAGAGAATTGACAACAATGACTCCATTATTTATTTATTAAAGATTAATTAAGCATAAAATATAAAGCAGAATTATAATATGATTTTTTTCCCATAAAGTTGTTAAGTTTAAATATTTAACAAGGATTTTTGAAGGGAACATATTCAATCATTAAATTAAGAATTCGCTCATCAGAAAAAAAATTAAAAAGTGGAAATCTCCAAAATTTTCCTGTGTACTGCTAGTTATTGCTGTAACTAGACTCTTTCAAAGTCGCGAACATGAATCCCATAACTCATTATAGTTGTAGGGGACCACATATACTGCAGCCACTACTAATATAAGTCAATTTGAAAATTTAGTCATACTAGACTTTCAAATGTAACCCAATTTGTTAATGCAAAGAGTTAGGTAGTATATAGCAGAAGAAATTGGAAAAATCAGATGGTAGAAAAGTGGCATAAAATATTGTTTGATTTTCTCATTAGAAAAGAAGTTTTTGTGTAAATATCCCAAAATAATTATAATTGAATAATTCTTTTTACTTAACGCAGGAAAATCTCCAGCTAATACTTGTCCGTTAGTGAAGAAATCAAGACAAGAGAAATGGGCACTCTATTCTTTGAAGCAAGGACTTGAACAATTGACGGAAACATTGACTCAAGTGTTACATCAAAACCCAAAGTGTGAGTTGAGGTTACAATCACCTTGCACAGGGTTGCAGCTAGATTCAGGAAAAGCCACTGTAAGTAGCAGAAATGATTTGTAAATAAAAACCATTGCTGCAAAGCAAATAGATTAGGAAATCTTAAATGTTCATGTGTTTTGTTTTACTTTTTTTTTTTTTTTTTGATTGACATGGAAGAAATAAATGATAATATAGGGGTGGAAAAGTAAGCTACATAGATTGTCAGATGTATGATCACTTTTGAATGTTATTCAGAAATGATCTCTTGTCACAGGTCAATAATCAATTTTTTTAAAAATAGTCCTTTTGAAGGAAAATAAGTTATCAGCTGATTACGATTGATTGCTGTTTATTTCATTTAATTTTTTGGCCATCTTCCCAAATTCTGACCAAATAACAAACATCAGAATTTATTTATTTATTTATCAAGGGCTTGGTCAGCCCAATAACTTTTCAGTACCTCTTTCTATATTCATTACTTTTGTCGAACCTTAATGAACGCATCTGATGTGTATAAAGAAGATTAGATTCATTCCAAGTTTGTCATCATTACTAAATCAAATAATTGTTGGATTCACAAATGAATTAAATTATTTTAGAAACATTTCTTTTTTAGAAAAATCTTGATTAAAAACATTTTTTTTTTTTTTTTTTTTTACATCTGTTACCCCCCACTTGTTTAATTTTATGAAATTTCGAGAAAATTAATGTTATAAGCACAAGTCCTTCGAAAATTTAAATCCTCAAGTTTTTGTTGTAAAACAAGACCACCAGCTACAGAAAATATGCTCTGGATCATAAAATAAAAATGCAATAAAAGACATAATTTAATTAGAAAAGCCTTGTAATTGCTTTTATGAATAAGATATATTATTTGTCTTAAGAAAATTTATTTTCAATGAATAATGAATTTTTACAAGAAATCTTTTCATTTTAAAAAAAATTTTAATTAGAATTAATTAGTAAAGTTTTAAATCTTTTAAAATTCTGTATTAATTTGTAGTAGTTAGGTGATATTAATTAAGCAAAAACAATATTTACTAATTATAAATGGAAAAGCTTACTACAATTTTGTGCAGAACCAACCACACTTTTTGAAGGGCTGAATACAGAGATTTGGTTCACTACATGCCACAAGGTCCCCAAATAACCTTCTGCAAGGTTTTGAATTCAGAGTTGTCCTTCTCCTAGACCAGTTGCCATCCAAGGCTAATTACCCATAGCTGGAGAGAGAAGAAGAGGATTCATACCTTTCCCAAGGGTATTAGCACATAAGTGAATGTAATGGATTCAAGTGGAATTTGAACTTGGCTCTCTGAGCCCTCAGTCCGAGCTGCTAACCCACTCTCTCTCTCTCTCTCTCTCTATATATATATATATATATATATATATATATATATATATATATATATATATATATATGAATGAATGAATGAGAAAGAAGTGTAACAATGTGTAAAAGTTTTTTTGTGTTATGCGTTTTTATCCTTTAGGCCTTGATCAGACTAAGTTTATACATATGTTGATGTGACTATACATGCACACAAATGAGAGATAGATGCTGGGAACTTAAAAATAATTTTTTAAAAATCCCTGTGTTTTGGGTATATAATCTAGCTGATTTCATTTAGATTCTTTTTGTTTTTGTTTCCATCACTTACTTTTTGTGGATGATCAAACAAAGTAATTTTAAACATTTTCATTTTATTAGATATTTTCTGAAGCCTCTCAACTAATATCTTTTGTCCATTCATCAATGCAGAGTTTATTTTATGTCACTCAGATTTGATGGCTTTCTATTTATGAACACCAATTTTCAATCTATGCCATGAATATTCAGAGTTGAGTCAGTCAACTCAGATAGTCATTCTGTTCCATTAACCTTACTCAGCTTGAACTTCTTTTGAACAGGAGTAGAGGTTTATCCTTTGTTTCCTGTTTTAGGATTGGGTATTCAGTTCCTTCTAAAATCTTTTTCTATTTCACTCCTTTTTGTTCTTTGTGTCTTAGTCGCCCTTTCACCACCTTGCTTAGTGTGAATTAATTAAAAAAAAAAGTGCTAAATTAGCTTCTTTTTATGTGTTTTCATCAGTCGTGGCTATTTTCATGCAACCAATCCATGAAAATTCTTGTTCGTTCAATGTTCTTTGAATAATTGCAATATGTACATCTGTTTTTGTGTCCTTCAAATCAAATTTTTGCACCCTTGGGAAAGTTATGAACCCATCTCCTCTCCCTCAGCTACGGGTTAAATAGCTGACTGGGTTCTCCAATTGTGGTTGGCAACCAGTCTAAGAAAAGGACAACTCTGAATGCAAAATGCAGACAATTGAACTTATACAAAAATGGCTAGAAATAGAATGCAGATGCTGTGTCTGCAAAACAAAAATGTAATAGATTTTTAACAACTATGGATGATCCCATTGGAGAGTGATTATCAAGAATGTTGTTGACACTAACGAACATTGGGTTCAAGAAAAGTGGCATAACATGTGGCATTTTCATTAGTAAGAGTAGAATTCAGTTATTCTTGGATTAATTTTTTTTTCAAAGCTGTTTACTTTAGTAAGTAAAGGGTGTATCAACCCAGAGTGTTGTGATAAAAAGCAGCAATAAGATGGAGTAAAACTAGTAATAAAATAATACAAATGAGGTTTTTCTCTATATTATTTTCTTTGTTCTTCCAGGTTCAAACAGAAAATGATTGTATCAAAGCTGACCATGTATTTTCCACAATATTTGCCCAATGTATGTATTTTGAAAACTATTTTGTGCCTAATGAATTACTTAAAACCATTAGTGGAAAAATACAAAATTCTGATTACTCTTCTTTTTGTATTAATTAATTCTGTACATCAAGAATCTAATTGCCTAGATAATGATTGAACCCTGTCAAGACTGACAATGGGGGTAACAGCTTTTTCCTGTTAAGATCTTGGCTGGTAAATTAGAGGGAGTAGTTTGCTCACCTACTGTCTTTTCTTTGTCAACCAGCATTGCATGTCAATGATGTGATGTTTTGCCAAGATATGAAGGGATAACAGAAGTGGATTCATACCTTTTCTCTGTGAATGGTACATAAATATCCTTGGCCAGAATTCAAACTTTGGTCCACTGATTCCATTTTCTATGCTGATAATCACCCAAATCCAAAGATAAATGTGTATTCAGTTTTCATTTAATGAGAAGTTTTAAAATTTCAACAAATAATTTAATAACAGTTTTTACTGCATACTATTGCTAAATATTAGAACAATCATACTAACTCTAAAAATAGGTACATTATCATTTTTTTTTAAATGTTATATCCTTTCAGGACATAGGCAATCATAGTTCTTCATAGTGTTAAGTGAATATAACAGACTAGGTGAATGAATTTGAACTTACAGATAACAGTTTCTTTTAACCATGCATTTTATTTTGCAATAATGATGCTAGAATATCAGCATCATAAGAATGACGCTAATAAACAGCTGCATTTTAACAATGATGCTAAAAATAGCTGCATTATAATAATGATGCTAAAAATAGAAACATTGTAAGAATAAATATGAACTTCCAGTTGTATGTATGACTTGATTAATGCAGACAGACTTTAATGTATTAATTTATGTGTTGCTGGAAATGCTGTTATTATAGAATTTAAAATGACTTGATTATTTTATAAAAAGATGATTATGAAAAAAACCACAAACAGGTAACAGACAAGATGATAAGTTGTGGAACATGTTTTAAATTTAATGGGTTATGTTTAAAATTTAATTGGTACTATATTATTTACTCCAAGATAAAATCTTTCCAATATTGAAATACCAGGAAAATATGCACATTACATCACAAGTTGTTTGTGTGATGTTCAAAGGGCATTAAGTGCATTTTTAGTGAAATGAGAAACAACACCATAAAGATACAAATTCAGAATATAGTTTTTAAAATTTGGAACTAACTTCAAAGAAAGTCTTTTGCATCAAAATATTGTCTATGTCACCTTGTAGAGCTCAGTTTGCTTCTTTGAAAGATAGAAACATATGCAATGAAAAAGTTTATTTCAAGTTATGCCCTTTTAGAATCACAACAATGAAAACACATTGGATACATTGGTTTGTGTAGATTGCATATAAAACCATATGTGAACCTCTTGGCTGTAAATACTTCAAGTCACTTAAAAGATAATTGGAAAATATAAAATATGTGAAATTTTTCATTCTTCACTTATTTTTGCAATGCTTCTTTGATAAAAAAAATATTTTTGGCCTCTTGTATTTAGCAATATAATTTGACAAATAACTTGTTAGAAACAAAAAAAAAAGTGTGCTGAACTGCTATGTAATATCAGTCCTCCTATATGTCAGTGAATGCTGAATAATTTCCTTACAGATGAAGAGAAGACTTTAGACAAGCTATGTGGTTCAATAGAAGGATGCTGAGAATATCATGGATGGAGCATGTAAGCAACAATGAAGTCTTAAATAAAATAGAAACAAAAAGGACACTCAGAATCAGGAAGAGAAATCTATTGGACACAATGAGGAAGGAGGACTTGTAGAATTTGACACTCACAGGATATATCGAAGACAAAAGGTGCAGGGGTAGGCAGTAGACCACCTACCTGACAAGCTTATGGATGGTGGAATGTGAGTGGGATGGCTAAATGCTACAAAAGATAGGAAGTTGTGGAGAATCATGATCGCCCATATCCTGAAGAGACATGGCATATAAGAAGAAATTTCATTTGTAATTTATTATCTAAATATTAAAATTATGTATTTTATGACAAATATAACTGGTGATTGATAAGACTCATCTGTAATGGCCAGGATATGTGATGAGAATGGAAGACTATTGTCATTCCAAGATATTCTTAGTTTCTGAATTGGTCTCTGGCAAGTTAAGAAGCACAACAGAAGTGCAATGATTCTTTAAGACATTCATATCTAAAACTATGATTTATTTTGGCAAATAATTTCTATTTAACATTCATTTCTACCTCAGTTATTTGAGCCCTTACATTAATATATTTGCTGCCTTGTCTATTTGAACCCTTACTGCATTTTTACATTGTCATTTATTTTAGTAAATTAAATTAAACCAATTCAATGCTACCATGGATATTTGAGCCCTTACATAATGCCATGAATGTGTTTTTTTTTCTTCATTTTTTTTTGTAAGAGTTACCACTTGAAACTGCAATATAAGATTATTTATATTTTATTTTGGTAATTAGAATTGAATTATTAATCTATAAAGAATGACACTAATGTATGTCATCAGAACTTGCTCTGCATTTTGTTTTTTTTTAGATAGTCTCATGTGACATTTGAACATTGTTTTGTTTATTACTTTTTTATCATGAAGAAACTATGGAATGTATGTACACATGTCACAAGACACATGTGCATCATGTGACAGTAAATATGTTGAAAAGAATTAACTACTGCCAGCTAACAATATGGTCTTCTGGGAAACCCCTTTTCCCAAAGCAGCCTACAAGAGCAAGTGAAGGGGCAGTAAATGTAGAACCAGAAATCCCATTGCTTACCAGACCTTCTTCAGCCACTGTGGTAAACCCTGCTTATTCTATATAGGGTTCATCAGAAGACCTGCAACAGGCACAAAAAAACTCTCCTAAATCTTTATTTCTAAATCCTAGCCATGATCATTTTAAAAAATTAGTCTATTTTGTTACAATGACTCCTCTCCTTGTAGTGATGTGTAAACTCATTATTGTTTTTCTAATGTTTTTTTCTTTTTGGTGTTACTTTTGTCAGCACCCTTATTCCGCTCATTGTCTCTATGATATATTTTTTCACATTTTTTTTAATGTTAATTACTTCTCTTTGTCCACAGATCTGAGTCCTTTGTTATCAGATAGTCACAAAGACTTAAAGCAGCCTCTTGCACAGATTTCAGGAGCTAATATTATTGTAGTGCATTTGGAATTTGATGGCCAAGTCCTTCCTCATCAGGTGTGTATCTACCTACATGATAGAAAAACAAAATTATCTTGGTTGTTATAGCCACATTTTGGCTGTTATACCTTTCAGGTGTCTCTTATTATTCAGTAACATTCTGAGAATTTTTTAATCCTTTCATTCAATCTACAGGTAGAGTATTTTCATTCTGGCTAAGTAATTTGTTCTTGTGATGCCACTTTTGCATTTATCACTGAACCAGGCTTTTCCTTACCTCACCCAAGGATTGAACTCATAACCACCAGGAAACTAGATGCACTTAATATTTTTTTTTAGCCACTAGGTAGTAGATTTTTCAGGCCTTAAAACTTAATGACTCTTCTTTTTTACTGGGAGACAGGACCAGACTATGACCTGGGAGCCATTAGAATATTTTTTACTTGTGATATATTTTAGTCACATTTACATATCTTGAAGTAAACTTATTGCAAATTCTTTAAATAAACTAGAATTTCTATTTTTAAACAGAATTTAAAAAATCTATTGCAATAGTTAATCTGGGTAATTGATTATGGACGATATAATCTACAAAAGTATATATTATACTCAGAGTAAGTAATTGAATGACAGAATGTGAAATAATACATTTTGTCCCTGAAAAGAACTTCTTTAGACTAAAAATAATAGTTTTATTGATGAAGTCATATATACTGTTACAGACAATTACTGCAGCATAAAATTTAAAAAGAAAAGATAACCAACTTGCTGTCGAGAAGATGCCAAGTTTACCACTCCATAGTTGATGGATTCTTTACAGGGTTGAATACACGAATGTGGAACAACAACCAACAGTAATGAATAACAGATGCCAATGTACAAATTAGTAAGATTTAATTATAACTAGAAAATATGAATGCAAGAGAATGAGTGGAAAGATGTGTGCTATACCTTTCTGTGTGGAAAGATGTATGCATTATATTTTTAGATTAAAAGTTAGCTTCAGTCTTTCACCTGAAATAAAATAGTGTTTTCTTTTTTCTCTCTCCTGTTTTATGTTTCTCATTGTTCTTACTACTTTCAATTCATTCACTTAATCAGTGGTATCTTGTGATCCATTCTTTTTTCTTCACGGTTATGAGTTTTGACCCCAAAAGCTGGTTGTTTACTCACTTCTTCTTACATTCAGCAATATATAATCTGTTATTTGGATGAGAAGATTCAGCATGGTATCAGGTGTACATATTCAGCAATGTAGAATTTATTATTTGGATCCTTCATGCCTGTCTTAGGTGATTGTAACACTTAGCAATTCACCTATGCATTTGATGTAAACAGCATAGTGTGTTGAGTTGGAATTTGTCTTCATCGTGTGATTTCCTTTGCTTGATAGTAACAAGTAAAAAGAGACATTGTTCACATGAGATTCGGGTCCCAAGTTTGTTTGAGTTGAGGTTGGCATTCAGTTTGGTGTATCCATTCGCATGATGGTTTCATGGATGGTTTGACTCCATCGAGATTGTTGCCCCAACTGGTATTCAGCAATGTTTTCCTGCTCAATATTCATACTGTGTGTGTATGAGAATCTATTTTTAGCTTCCATTTGGATCTGTTGCTGGGGTCAGCCTGTCTGACCTAATTGTTTTTGTAGTTAGCAACTAATACAGATTGAAAGAGAGAGGGGGAGTTTATGTATTCTATCATTAGAGAGGTTGAAAAAAGATGTGTTGCTAAGTAATGTTTGAGGTTAGGAGTTTTGGTTGCATAAGGGACACACACACACACACACACACACATATATATATATATATATATATATATATATATATATATATATATATATATATAGTAGGGGGTGTAAATACTGCAATCACTGGTTACAAATTTACATGAGAAACATATATAAAACAGATAAAAATTTGGTATCTAGTGTATCTAGATGCATCAGCTAGCTGACCGTATTTCATTTTCTATTAATTTCATTTTTATTGCTCTTCTTTTAACATATTCCACATTGTTTTCAGGATTAGTTTTGATAGGGAATGATATATGTTCAAAAACAATAAAAAAATTAACTAAAACAAAATAATAACAACTTTAAACCTGAGGCAGGGATTTACAAAAATAAAAATATCCCAAGAAAAGCTAAGTGTTCCTGTATCAGCATTTAAATTTGTAACCGTCATTTGTTGTATTTCTTCGCCTATATATATATATATATATATATATATATATATATATATATATATATAGCTCTAGAAGTTATTATACAAAATAAACAGCATACATTAAATATCATTCACCGCAGGGATGATAATGGGCTCAATAATATTCCAGGTAACATACAATGGCTCCCTAGCTCAACTTTTCACTGACTGGATGAATAATCTCATGTTGCAACTCGATTGTCATCCGTATAGTTGATTACAAAAACTGGGAAAGGTCCATTGCACATTCACAGAAAATCAATGCCATGTTGAGAAATTAAAACATGATTCCTGTTTTCAATAATTTGGTCATTTATTCATGGATTCATTTGCACAGTCTGGCTAGTAGTTATGCAATACTTTGAATAACTTCTGAAATGACAGACTACAGATCAGTTCTTCCCTTCAATCACCAAAAACTCTGGTTGTCTCTTACCACCCCTCTGCCCCTCTCTACATCACTATGAGCAGCATTGAAATTACTTCAGTAAAAGATGCAGACCCGTCAACAGGTGGCCTGACTGTGACTGTTTATATAAGTCTGCAAATGGAAATTTGTAACTTCCAGCCAAGTAGTAGTTTTTATTTATGTATTATTTTATTCCCTTTTGTTTAAATGGGTGGCTGCTTTGAAGACCCCATTTTGCAGATTTTACTGCTGGTCATAAAAAAAAAAACAAAAACACCAAAACATTTTAGGCTGAAAATAAAATCATTTACCATCCTCTTCTATGTAGGTGTCCTTATCACAGACATAGTATTGTGTTCATAGTTATAATTAAGACTTACCAGTGATAATTTCGCCAATAATGACTAGGTTTTTCTTTCCTGTTTTTGATTACTCATTCTCATATCTTTTGAGTGTAGTCTTATGGGAAGTTAAATTTTTATATGATCTGCTATTTCTTTATAATCTCTTATTATCATCTTGATAATAATCATAGATATCAGGTTCCTACTTCTTTAGTTTGATGAGAAGTTGCAGTCTAAGATCAATTATCAATGAATCTGGCTTAATGTACAGCAGTCGAAATTTTATTTTGCTTTCTTCCTCTATATTTCCATGTATTTTATACTTCTGTGTGTGCTTTATTTTTTTGTCATTGTTGTTATTTTTTAATTCTTAATACTTAATTGGGAATTAATGTCATTAGTCTTTTTAATTTCAGGGATTCGGACATCTTGTTCCTCATATTGAGCATACATATTTCTTGGGGGTTATCTATGATTCAAGTGTTTTTCCTTCTCAAGACTGTCAAAGTTCTACTTCAACACGGCTCACAGTAAGTTTTCTGTTTTGCTTATTTCAAAACATTGCATTGATTAGAACGTACAATTATCCCAATTATTTGTAGGGAGATATGTTCCAAGACACCCAATGGATGTTTGAAACTACAGATGGTTATAAACACACAGATATATGATATAAAGAAAAAAGGGAATTATGTTGGAGAAGCATGCACAGAATTCTGTCTTCGGTTCAGTATCCATAAAAAAAAACAATCAAAGACAACAACAATAATTTCTCTGTTGCTGCACGCTTCAACCAATGATGGCATCAGATACATGCTTTTTGTGTTTTCATTTAACAGCTGACAAGAAGGATGCAGATCAGAGTTAAAATATATTTTCAAAATAGAATCACATATTAAAGGATTAAACAGGGATTTGGATTTACTCAGAGAATATAGTTTTTACAGGGAGCCATCTAACCAACAACAAGATTCCTTGTAAGAATGAGTCCCACTTTTTTGTTTATTTCTTGTCTCATTGAAAAAAGACACAGTCGTATCTGAAAATTCTGACTTTAAAATCTTTCTATTTGTTCTTCAATTTAATGAAAAGGTTAATATTTTTTTTGTTTAATCATTTCGCCCAAAGCAAGGTAGAAATGTCAATAGTACACAGATGGTTACAGAGAGTGAAAGTGAGTGAAAACTCTTGATTGAGGAAAGGATGAAAGATGAATGGAGTTTGAAGAAGATGGCGATTGATGTTGCATTTAAATTTTTGAAGATTGTAGTCATCAGGGAAGCAAGTAAGAGAAAGGGAGTTCCACTGTCAGGAAGTGTGAGAAAAGAAACTGTTGGAGTAGAAGTGTCGGTTACATTTAACTATTTCAACAGTAAAAGGGTAGGACCTAGATGCCAATCTAGTAGCACACTTAAGTTCATGTGGTCGAGGCATCAGAGCAGTTGCCATGAAAATATTTGTAGAAAAGACAGAGGGAAGCCACATCACATCTGTGGGGAAAGTGACTGTTGAGATGCCAAGTCAGGATCGATTACATTGCAGATCCTTGTTTGGATTTTGTCAAGAACCTCAAGATGAACAGCTGGGGCACCAGTCCAGATATGTGAATGGTATTCAATGCATGAATGAATGGTAGATTTGTAAATATCCAAGATGGACTCTGATGAGGAAAACCTGGCATGACACAATGAACCAACTTTCCTTGCATTAGATGCAGCTATTGATTCAATGTAGTTGTTCCACTTCAAGTCAGTTGAAAATGTGAGGCCAGAAAGGCACAGTGAGATGCTCTCCTGGAGTTGAGCATCACTTGTGCTGATGGTGAGCAGAGAAGTTTCTCTATGGTGGTTAAATGAGAGCATGAATTTGGATGCATGAAATTTACAAGCCATTTCCTACCCCAGTCAAACCCTGTCAAATGCCTAGAGCCACAGCTTGAGTTTCGCTGTTATTATCAAGAGCTTGATATACATATTCAGTGATGGCTGTAAGCACATTAACAGTAAACTGGACAAGACAGAATCCATATTGTTTGTCAGAGTGTAGGTCATGAGAGGTAAAATGCTTAATTATTTCTGCGTTGATTAAAGCCTCGAATACTTTGCTGAAAAGCAGTAGGGGACTAATAGACCGATAGAGGAGTCAGAAAATTCTCCAGAGTTCTTAAAAACAGGAACTACAGAGAAGGAATTCCAACAAGTTGGAAAGCAGGAAACAGCGAAGCAGCAGTAGTTGTAGAGTTTGGAAAGAACTGAGGCCAGCTCGGGAGCACATTTCTTTAGGATGATTGCTGATATCCCATCACCTCCACTTGCCTTATGGGAGTCTAATTTAGAAATGGTATCCAAGACCAATTACAGTGTTATGTGTATATCACACAGTGTAGCTTCAGTTCTTGGGGGGAAATCAGGTGTGGGTATTGCAGATGAGTTGATTATTGAGTTGGAAGAGAATTTCCAAGCAAAGTATTCAATCTTTTATGAAATATTATAAGGAACTTATATGTGAAAAGAGTTCTTTATCCATTGATTTGACAGCATTATTAGATATACCTGTGTGTGGTTGACTAAGTTGCATTGTATACTGTGTTGTGTTATATATAACATGAGGGAAAAGAGACATTTTTAACTCTAACGCATTCTGTGGGAGAAAAAGAAGAAAGTCAAACATTTGCACTCATCTTGTAATCCTACTTTGGCAACATCATCTAGTGGTCATTAGTAGAAGTTCTTTGGCAGACAACTGGGGTAATCCCACAAAGGATAAGCTCTTTATAATAGACTTGTAAGTATATTCCTTATTTTTCCTGCAGACATGATGTTAAGCTTAAACTACTATGCCAGTGAGAAAGTCAATAGGAATCAGATGATAAAATATTATGACATTCTCCCAAGTAGGGAGTGCTTGCTTGTCAAGAAAATCGGCATTCAGAAGCCTGGCTTTTGACTATACTGAAATACTGATCTTTACCATTGGTGGGAAAGACACAGGCTGGCTATAGTTCTTTCTCATCCTTTATAGCTGAGATTAAAATGACAATATTGAGAAATACAATTAAAAAAAAAATGTACTTAGATTTTATGAAATTATATTGTAAATATTGTATGCATTTTCTCTGTTCATATTTTAGTTTTTAATTTAAAAAAAAAATCAATAATGCGCTATCACAATTCTGGAATACAAATTTTGGTGAGACGAATGTTAAAATTCTGACTACTCCCTTACAACCTTCCTAATCTCACAAATCACATAATGACCATTATCTCATAATTCTTATCATTTAATAAGTTTAGTGTGGCACAGGCCCACAAGTATGGAGAACCTAGTGAGGATTCAATTCCATACTCACTAGTAAAGGCCAATCAGACTAGTTCACTAACCATAACACCATGTCAAGGCACCACTCTGTTTCATAAGTGTTGCTACATTTAGTTTTGAAAATTGTTCTTACATTTGTAAATAAAAACAAAATAAGAGAAACTCAAAGAAAATGGAATTTGTTTATTAATTCACTGCTTGGAAAAATTGATTTTGTTAAATATTTAAGTAATTTACACTTAAGCATTTAATTTTTTTTTTTTTTTTTGCATAAAATAGGCACCTTTCTACATTTAATGCTATTTGTAGTCAATTTTTAAGAAGTTTTTGTTTTATTTACATGCTTAATTTAATAAAAATTCAAATATCATTTGCCATTTTGAGTTTTGCCTTTTGTGTTCTTGAATTTCTGTCCATAGTTGATATTGTCTGTTAAAATCTATAAACCCAGAAGTTACACTTCTTTCAATTTTTCCTTACCTTTTGAATAGTTAGCTTTAAAAGACTGTATGTTATCTAAATAAAATACCACTCTCAGGTTTAAGCATAACACTGAGTTGTTACCAGGGCCTATACACATAAAGTTTATTAAATGTTGCCAATAAATCAAAAGAAAAAATATGCAAATATAATAAATATTATGGGACAGATAGATTTTTTTCAGCTTTAACAATGTTATTTCTTCAAATAAGTCTTGAAAATTTACTTTTGTTTTGTGTAAACCAAAGTATTTTGCATTGAAATATTTTTTTTTCTTGATGCTTACTAAACTTAATTTGATATGAGAGATGAGCAAATAGGGGGAGATGGACGTAAGAAGACTGTTGTGTCAGTCGTCCAGGTGTGTATAGAGAGAGTGCATTTGAAATTCCATTCTTTTTCCTGATAGATTGATTTGTTTTTACTACTTATCAACCATTTGCAGGTTATTTAAAACCAGAAATTACTTTTTAGATTGTAAGATTTTAGGGAGAAAATAATTTATTGATACAAATTCTACTAATTAACACAGCTGTGGGGAGAAGTGAATCCCTACCTTCCTCAAGGGTATTTGTGCATAAGTGAATATAATAGACCTAAATTGGAATTTGGCTTTCCAAGTGGTCACTTATCTAGGTACTGACCAGGCTTGACGTTGCTTAACTTCAGTGATCATACGAGAATTGATGTTTCAATGTGATCTGGCCAAAGTCTGGTCTTTTTCCTGTGCTCTGATCCAATTATCTCAATAAAAAGGTAGACCAAAATTGTTGCTTCTACTGCCTCTGAAGTTTTTTTAAAAGTTTGTAAAAGAAAAAAAAAGATGTCATTACTATGAGTAAATCTTTCTACATCAGGAAACAATCTGTGGTGACCTAATTTCTTATGTATATCTTCTCAATAATTAGCTATTTGAATCTGGGATACATCTTCAACAAAAAGAAATATAGTACAATAGGGTTCTGAAAAGCTCTCGGTCTGACCAATAATCAGTATTCTGATGTTTGGTTCTTGAAATAAAGATTTTGGAAAATGAGCTTGACTGATTAGTTTTCAGCACCTCATTGTACATAAAGATGCTGAGTATTTATTAATAGGATGAACATATCTCCTGTGTGAGCCTCACATACACAATGAAATGAGATTTTTTTTGCAAAACATCACATCATGTGGTGTTTACAAGTCCCTCTACTGCCAATATTTGACCCTTTGTAACTTCTAACATTATCCAAAGCTAAAATCATCATTGAAAGGGAAGAGACATATCAGGAACAATATTAAGGATTATGAATGCTATGACTCAACTAATAGTGATTTCAAAACAAGACTTTGATGTTTTGAAAAGTCAAAGGGATGTTGTGAGATATATAAGGTTTCAAGGAGATTATTTTGAAGAGTACTAATGTACCATTGACCTAGGTAGGACTTCTTTTTTTTTTTTTTTTTTAAATGGGTATTTTCTAAACTGATCTCATGTGCTAATATTCTTACTTTGATCTCTTCCAGTTCAGTATATCTAATTATTTGCATTTTTTATTTATTGGAATTGAGAGTAAATTTTGTATTGATTTATTGTATGTTTTGAGGGATGAAAAAAAAAAATAACAAGTCTTGTAATATTTTCTATTTTTAGGTAATGATGGGGGGCAGTTGGTTTGATCAGCTACTTGACGTTTGTCCTGAGATGTCAGAAGAGAGCTTGACAGATTTGGCATTAAAATTTGTGTCTGAACAGCTTGGAATTTCCGCTCCTCTACGGAGATCTCAAGTTAAGCTACAAAAAGTAAGTATCATGACAATAACATGAAAACAGAACCTGCTATTGGTATTTCTTTATTCACATTTTAAAAATGAATTTAGCAATATTCAAAAGTATCTGGATCTGGGGTGTTAATAAAATATAAATAAATATGAACATTAGTAAATTTACCAATTGTATTAAAATCAATTTGCAAAAGTAATAAAAAAAAAATTGGATAGACAAAACTTGTTGACAATATTCAATCCAACATATTTGAAATAATTCTTGCTGCCAAAATACACCTTATTTAAAATATATAAAATAATTCACTTAACTCTGTACTCAGTTTTATGATTTTTTCCCATCTAATCCTCAGATATTTTGGTTTATTTTACAGAAGTTTAAAATTTGAGTGAAGAGTGCTCAATATGAGAGATAAAGCATTTTTTAGATACAGTGTGAATCTCGAAATCAACACAGTATGGTAACTGTCACTTTCATGCTTCCATTTATCTTCACTTGTCAAGTTGACAGTTGCCATGCATTATTATGTCTTCTCTCTCACTCATACACACACACATACACACATCTAAGTAAAATAAATTAATCCAAACCAGTAAATAACATACACATAAACACAAGTAAACATAATAACAACCAACAAAAAAATAATCAATAATAAATAAAAACAAAAGTTAACAAACATGAAATATCTCTAAAGCTGCATCTGGACCCACAATAATCCCCACTCAATAGCCCCTAGAATAATTCAAAACACAAAGGTTACCACCCACCAAAATAACTGCTAGAATAATACAATAGACTACTCACAAGATATCACTGACCTGTATATATAAATAGTTGAGTAAAAACACAATGGACATGGCCTGATGATTGTGTTCAGCATGACACAGACTGTCACATCTGGGTATTGGCTTCAATGTCCTCTTTTTATATATATATATATATATATATATATATATATGCACACACACACTGTTTTTTTTTTTCAGTGGAATGATGGTTATCTCAATCTGGATAGGCAAATAATAGTATTTTGTTCTGATTCACAGTCATAAATAAACCCATACTGAATATGTAAAAAAAAAAACAGCTTTAAAGGATTTATTCAATCAGTAACATGTTTAAGTGTATATTGTTTCTGTTTTCAATATTTTAAACCTAGTCTTCCTTATTTAAATGGGATGAGGAGTTATCATTATTTACATCATTTATGTGCAAACTATTGTCCTCATCTTTGTTGTCTGGGTAGCTTACAGGGAATTCCGAATTGAACCCTTTATATAATTTACGGGAGTAGACTGTTCTTGTTACACTGCTCATGTCTTGGGATATATCATCTGTTTTTTATTTTTAGTACTGCTCAGTTATTCCACTGAGTTCAAGTATATACTGCTCAACCCAGGTATTGAACTCAATTACTGTGTCATCAAATTCATGAACAAACACTTTAATCCAATAGGCTATTGTAGGCAATATCTTAATTTTTACCCATGTTATATTTTACAATCAATTGTGATGTTTCACAAATAAAATTCTGTTAAACCGTTGTTTAAATAAGAAAAATAGCATTTAATGAAGGTGTGTCAACTTTAGTCTTCATATCACTCGAAATGTTGCAAACTGTTGATAGTTTCACTGATGGGGACAACAGGAGATGTTCTATCTGACCAATCTCTGTATTGCTCTCACGGATTTTTGCTGTGGTTATATAAATAATCAGATCATTGCTGAGTGTCTCTGCTCTGATGATCTTCAGGATCAGTTTACCCAAGCATCAATCTAGATTTTCTGCTGTTCTCATTGATTTCAGGAGGGGTACTCTTTGCTTTTATATTGTTCATTCTAATTTCTCTTATGAGTTAAATTATTTCAACACTGTTTAAAGTGGCTGATGTTTATCAAGCCAGACAGACATGGGGAACAGCCATAAACATCATGATTTTTAACAGATTTGTACAGTTATAAGATTAAATATTCACAAGATTTGAAAACTTTTTCTTGGATAATCTGTGTTCAGATAACTGATATTTCACTGTGTGTGCACATGTATAGGTACTGCTGACTTTGCAAGCAAAGAACCATAAACATTTTCAAATATAGTTGTGACTTTTGCATTTTTTATGTGAACAGACCATGTATGAAATATGTAATCAACAATATAGTCTAAATTATTTAGTATGTTCCTGTTTATAATTGAATGGTTCTAAATCTGTTAATTTCTCCATGAAATCAATTTTAAATATTTCAGGTAAAATGATAAACCAAAAAAATAATAATGTGTTCCTTAAATGTTATACCAAAAATATGTAAACATAAAAAGTAACATATTTGTTAAAAATGCAGTAAATATGACATCTCTCCTCCTGATATATACACATGTACTATTTATTGTTGAAAGCTATACCCATAAAAATGGAACTCAGTAAATGGACAAAAGAACTTTCATTTTTGTGGGGTGGACACAGAACTAGGTATAGTTGATAGTGATAAAAATAAATCAGAATTGTTTCAGGTTTTATCTGCTACTCCTGTGTGTCTAAAAGTGCCCAATGATATCAATTCTGTTCCTAACACAGATATATTTGCATGTTGTGGCTTATTGTAATTACCCAAATAACTTATCTTTTTTTCTTTTTCAGAACTGTATTCCTCACTATCAACTTGGCCACAAAGACAGACTCAGCCAGATGCAAAACTACATTGCATCATACCAACTTCCTTTAAGTTTGCTTGGTTCCTCTTACAAAGGACCCAGTGTCAATGATTGCATCCTTAATTCCCGATTAGTTGTTGATTCTTTTGTGTCTCCTTAACATTCTAATCGTGAGGGTATTGTGAGCTCAAAATGGCTCTGGCAGATACTTCCAATCAGCTCATTCATGTAAGCTATAATTCTGTTGAGTATCATTGGAGCTTTAGGGTACTATAAGTCACTTAAAAAAATAGTTTTGAAACCAAAGTGGCTAATCAGATTATCAGCCTGTTGACAAAGTGGCACAGGCTTACAAACTAAATGGATTTTACCAAGTATCTGGGCAGCCCAATCTGTCCTTGATTCCAGATGTACTAAATGTGACCACAATGAACAACACATTATTAGTATCATTTATTTATTATTTTTTTATTTAAATAAACATTTTATTTCTTTAGAATGGTTGGTTGTCACTTTTATTTTATTGCTGATTAGAAAATCGTAGGAAGTTGATATTGAACCCAGGACACCTAAAACAGTATTTTATAATACCAATGAAACTTTGTCGGATGAAAGATTTCAGTTATGTAGCTTAAAATATGCTTGTGATATCCAGCCAGGTGCATTCTGCCTGGTTCTAGAACTTTACTTCCTTTTTATCTGAGTTTTCATTCTTTGTTGAAATAGTTACAAAAGTATAACATTCAACTTCAATGAAAAATACTATAACAAGCCCCTTCCTTCTAACTTTTATGTCAGGGCCTTCATATTTTTTCAAATTTTTGCTCATAATCCTACTGGATATTGGTTTTCAAAACAACTGGTAGGTGTACAATATGTAATACTTTTAACTGAACAATTAGATAATTATAAGACATGCCCTCTTCCAAATGCAGTATCCTACTTATTTTACTTAAGTTTATTATTTCCGTTTTCAATATTTTAAACCTAGTCTTTCTTATTTAGCCTTTTCTCACTTTTATTTTTATAGGTTAAGTTTAAAATTTAGATACATTGGATGTCAAAATTTAAACTTAAATGTTGAGTATCTTTAATGCTTTGATGTAAACTGTAGTAGGCATTTATTGTACTTTTCTCTTTTTGTTTATAGGATTGATTAGATTAACGAAATTCATCGGAAGACATTCATTTCTGAACAAAATATGTCACAATACAATTTTTCCATCTTCATATATATTCTCAATGATTCAGATATAATTTTTTACATTTATCTGATATACTTAAAGGTGCTATTTAAGTTTCGAAAATTTAGGGCATAGATGGTTTCCTCAATGAAAAAAATAATGAGAAATGAGATCCTTTATTACTAAAGTTATTTCAAGAAATGTATGAAATATTCAAGAAATGCTTAATTTAATTTCCTGACAGATAAATTACTAACTTATAATCATACATCAGTTCCTATTAAAGATTATAAAAAAAACAAGCAGTAAACTCCGACTAAAAATTTTTTAATAACCTCAAATTCCTGATGCCAAAAACTGCAATGATTACTTTAAAACAAGAATCCTTTTATTTTATTGTAATAATATTTGTCAACATGTTCTGTGATCAAGTAACATTATCAAAGTATTTTCAATTGTTTGTGGGTACAGTGTGCTACCAGACTAAGCATCATCCTATGCTTGGCAGGTAGGCAGTCAAGGTGACATTCTATCTACAAGAACAAGTCAGCTGTCCGATACAAGCTGTCATCATGAACCTGCCTGTCAAGCCCTGGTTTGCCACAATGTATGGTGTCAGCTGAAGTGTGCCATGGAGTGGTTACCCATAGACAACCTCAAACAATTTGCAACCAAGGCTTTCATGCTTAATGACTTTTTTTCTTGTGTCTAAAGAACCAATTGAAGAGCAGTCCATGAAAAAACAACATCCTTTGAAAACACCAGAAGACAAGTAGAAGAGACAAAGAGAGCCCAAAGAAAAACCAGAGCTCTCCACCCATTGAACCCTCCTACCCTACCATGCAGTGGCTGGAGAAAATTTTCAGGACATAAAAAGAAATTTTCTTGCTTCTCACTTTTAGACCTGCATTTCTTTAGGTTAGCACTTTTACAATATATTCTTTCTTACTATAAACATTATTTTTAGCGGGTCCGCATGTTGGAGTTGACATACTTGTTTTTGTTTTTTAATTGAGCCTTGCCTTATCATGACAGTTTCTTGTTGCCGAATTGGTAAGGGCACACTTTGATTATAGGAGTGGTTTCCCTGATGGAAAAAAGGAGATACAGGTTCAATTCTTGTCAGGAAGCACATTTTTCTTTAATAGGACTTCTCAATTTAGGTGAGTCAACTTTTATTTTTTTTGGGAGAAAAAAAAAAGAAAAAAAAAGCAAATGTCAACTTAAACATGTGTACCCACAAAAAAAAATATTACTAATATGGTAATAGTGAAATTAGCCATTTCCTTATAAATAAACATTCAGCATACATGGACCAAACAGAAATCACGTTGGATTAAATTTACAAAATCTTTTTCTTAAAATAGTTTTTCTGGAAAATAGGTTTCTCAAATTCAGTAACTGTTCTGTCTTTTGTAGTAATGATTGGTGTTTTCCTTCCTAACCTTTTGTTTGAAGTAATATAGAAAGTTAATATCTTGATTATATCATTTTCCTGTTTACTATCCATTTTTGTTGTTCCTACTGTTGAAAGTCTTCAAAGGATGTGGCTTTTGTTTTTTGGTAAAGTATTTTTGTTTCAGATTCTGTAGAGCCAGTCTATAAAATCTGATAAAGGATAGTCATCTTTAAGACCTACAGGTTTCATTCACTCAAGAAAATGGTTGTATATATATTTGACAGTTTAGACATTTCTGAAGACTGACACCATGAATGATATCCATATGAGAGTCTTGATCTGATAAGGCTATTTAAGAACATGACTTCAGTTCTTACATTAACATTTATATGCTCTTACTTAAAAAAGAAATCTTAAAATCAGCAAATCAAGACTGGATTTGCTGATTTTAAGATTCAAAATTGTGAAATGAAAGGTACCTTAAATGACCATTCATTTAGATCCATTTGTATAACTGCAGATGTCCCCCAGGGCTCTATCCTTGACCCTGCTTTATTTTTAATTTCCATTAACAATCTTCCTGATGGTATCAGCTCTCAACTTGCTGATGACACTCATGTCATAATAATAAATTTGATTAGTTTAATAAGGTCAAATTGGCAGCTGATGTCATAAACAACCTTCAGTCTGTTGTTAACTAAGAATGGCTTATTAATTTTAATGGCTCCAAAACAAAACTGTTCTCTATTAATTATCTGATAGACCCCGCCTTTCTGCCTTCCATCAGTATGGCTGATGCTAACCTCCAGGAAAGTGACTTGTTGTGCTTTCTCAGGTTAACATGAAATGGAAAAACTATTGATTCCATTACTTGGTCAGCTGCTAAGTAAGTGGTTTACTATGTTGTGTTAAACAATTTTTCTCTCCAGGATCTATCTTACATATTTGTCTACTTTTTGCCCATGCTTAGAATATTGCTGCTACTTATGGTCTGGTGCTCTTGCTATATATTTAAAGATCCTTGATAAAATTTGTGGGGGTAACACAACAACTCAACTGATAATAGCAGGTAGGAACAAAAAACCGCGAGGAGGGTAACCGACAAACTGGTGTCACACGTCCAACCTTCTCACGAGCCAAAAGCCCTCTGATCCGAAACAGAAAAACGCGCCTGCTTTATACAGCCGAGGACTGACCACGATTTGCATGTGAATGACGAGACAACGAGATTTTGCATTAACTAACCGAGACCGCCCGGCATAAAACATGGGCGCCGCCATTTTGGTTCCTTTTAACGCTAGCAAACTGGAGTTTGCACATCGCACAGATTCGCAGGCGTTTCCGAGGTAGGCCATTTTCACAATTTTCCCCACACTCACCCCTGATCTCATGATCACAAACAGGGGAAGGAGGTGGTGATCGTCGCTGTCGAGTCCCCCTCCGAAGGGGGACAACACAAACTTCATCCTCATACGTGTTCTCGTCTGTGGTTTGAGTGTCGGTAAACACTGTGTCTGCCGGGAGGCTGCTGTTATCAGAATCACTGCCCTGCAGGTCTAACTCCAAGCAGATCAAACGCTCATTACTCTCAGACTTGGAATCGCTTTCATCGCTCAGTAACGGTAGCATCACCAGTCGCAAGTCTTTAATGTGACGAGGCACCCCATCAACTCTCACAGATTGTGGGCTGATCACCTCCATAACACGTCCAGTGCCATATTTTGTCGTACACTTGCCGTGTGGGTTTTTGACCCAAACATTTCCTTTTTTTGATCTCCCTCCAGTCACTTCTAGTTCAGGCAGTGGATTGGCTTCGATGCCTTTCACTCGGACATGATATTTGTGCAGTGCATCAGCTGATGCTGTGGATGGTGAAACGTTATCTTTCGGGATGACATTATACCAGTGAACCGCCTCCGATACCGTACAGCCCTTCCTGGCTGCGATGGTCTTGACGGTTCTGTGGTTTAGCTCCACGATGCCGTTTCCACTCGGCGAGTAGGCACATCGAAACCGCAGATGCACGTCCCAATTGTCCGCAAATTTTTTAAAGTCCCTACTGGTGAATGCAGTATCGTTGTCCGTCAGTATTTCCATGGGTGGGCCTTGCTCCAGGAAAACATTCTCCAACAGTCGAATGACGGTGCTCGCATCTTGTCTGTGCAGCGGCCGCCATGCCGCAAACCTGGAGGGACCACAATCAATAAGCGTTAAAAAATTCTCACCATTGTAGTGAGTTATGTCCATCGCTAGTCTGCTCCAGTTGCTCTTCACGCTCAGTTCTCCTCTTTCCCAGTGAACGGGTGCGGATCAATCGACTGACAGGTTGTGCAGGCCTTCACAACGGATTTAATGCTTTCTCTGGACACCTGCGGGTCGACTAACCTGGTGAAGTACAGAGCTTGTTTCACGCTCGGATGTCCGCTTTGACAATGGGTATTGGCCACCTGGTCCTCGTCCAGTCGTCTCCCTACCACTGCACAGCTCTTGAGCGCCGGTTCTCCTCTCTTGAGCAGTTCTAGCCACCTGTGTGGTACTCTGGTGAGGCGATCCGCACGGTTCTGACAGGACTGTACG